ATATATATATATAGATATAGATATAGATATAGATATAGATATAGATATAGATATAGATATAGATATAGATATGGACATAGATATAGATGTAGATGTAGATGTAGATGTAGATGTAGATGTATATGTATATGTGTATGTGTATGTGTATATGTATGTATATGTATGTATGCATGTATGAATGAATGAATGAATGAATGTATGTATGTATGTATGTATGTATGTATGTATCTGTGTGTGTGTGTAGAGATGTGTGCACGATTGTGGACACATATAGTACGTGCGCATATGTGTATATATATATATGTATGCATTTGACTTGTTTATGCATGGTATCCAGACAGTGTCTACTATAGTGTTTGTATTTCCCATGTTGTCCGTGTTTGTAGCCCAACCTTTGTACACGTACACATACACACAAACACGGACATCATCTTGTTCTTATTGTCCTCTCACTTTATGACTTGCTGGATTGCTAGCTAGTTAGCTAGCTAGCTTGCTTGCTTGTTTATGTACGTACATACAGACTGACCGACTGCTTGACAGGCTCACTCAATCAATCACTCAGTCCATCACTCACTCACTCACTCGCCCACTCGCCCACTCACTCGCCCATTCACTCACTCACTCACTCACGCACGCACTCACTCACGCACGCACTCACTCACCCACCCACCCACCCACCCACCCACCCATCCACGCATGCACACACTCACTCACTCACTCACTCACTCACTCACTCACTTAATTACCTCCTTACTCGCCTGCTTACTTGCTTACTAATTTACTTGCCCGTGATTTAGATGTTATAAACAACGAAATGTGCAAACACATAGGCAACTGAATGCAGGTATGTATGTATGCACTATTTTTACATAAAAGTAGATCAACATGGGTGATCAACAACAAGATACGTGCGTGGATTCGAAGGATGTATGCATCAATGTGAAATATGAAAGGCTGACGACCACGTGTGTAGATTTATAGACAAGGATGTGTATCCATGGGTGTACTTATGAATGTATGTATGTTTGCATCTGTATATGTATGTAAGTATGTATGTATGCATGGATGGATGGATGGATGATTATGGATGCCTGCCAACCTGTTATGCCTGCCTGCCGGCCTGCCTGTATGCATGCATGCATGCATGCGTGCGTGTGTGTGTGTGTAAAGAGAATGAGACATGTGTACGTACACACATATATGCCTACATGGCCTACATGGTTGCCTACACGGGTACGTAAGTACGCATGTCGGTGCACACACTTGCCCAAGCCCTTGCTCAGCTTGAAAGACAAGCGCCGCTTGCCACTGTCATCGCCAGCATCAGAGTGTCGGGAGCCGACGAAACCAGGAGCACATGCTTGTCAACTTCGGGACCTTGGAGCTCCGCCTTACTCTTCGCAAGACCTGGAATGGGAGGAGACATTGCAATTTCCTTGTCGAGGTGACTCGGAGATTTCAGGGTTTTGCTTCGGTTTTGATCCTCCCAACTGAACCGGTTTTCTCTCTCTTCGTGCAAGACCCCTTGGTATCTCAGCCTTGTTTTGTCACTGCGAGTTGGATCCGGCGACCTCTTTCTACATGCAAGCAAGTCTCCATGCTTGCATTCACAGCCGTAGCCATACATAGCCCTCCTAGAGATCTCCCATCTAAGCCGCAAGCTGCGCCATTGGTGCAGTGCCATGCCCAAGGACAACAATCTTATGGCTGGGGGTTTTTCCTTGAGTGGATGGGTGCAGAAGACGAAGAACTACAAGTTCCAGGCTGGGAAAGTTCAATTGTGTGGTGTTCGGAGGTGCATGAGCTTCGCGAGCATGTCTTGGACTGTCGCACGCTCTCTGATTGTTTGCTTGCAAATCGGCTGTACCGCGAAGCTGCTAAATCCGTAGTGCTACTCGGAGGAAGCACGTGTTGCACCAGAGGTCTTGCATAGTCCCACCACATGTTGCATGTTAAGCTGAAGAATCACGAGGCATGATCCGCAATGCTACTCCATGCCGCACACCAACCCACCACCTTCTTTAAGTCCACCCGCTCGTACCGCTACTCTACGAGAGGAGCCGAACCGTTCTCCAGACTGACCATGGCGCAGCTGTGATCAGCTCGGGAGAGACGAAGATGCTCGATGTGCTGCTGCACCACGTGAAAAGGCAACAAAAATCAGCTAGTGCGCTCGACTTGCTGCCACTTCGGTCGCTGGAGCACAGGTGCAAGTCTTTGGAAGAACGGTTTCATGAAGTTCTCTGTCAGCCATGCCCGAAAGTCAGGCTGGTGCCGCTGTCAGTGGTCGGGTCGAGACCATACAGAAGGCTGGCTCCAGTGCTCATTTGCTGACGTAGAGGTACATTGCGGTACCTTGCTAAGTGGATCCAGACTGTGTCAGGCCTTGGCTCCGCAAGCAGCGCGACTTGTGACCACGAGCATGTCCGCACATCCTGCACAACCTACACACCCTGCACATGCCGCGCACACTGCACACTCGCAGCTGCGAGCCGAGAAGGAGCAGCTTTCGCGTGATCGGTAGGATGTGCTGTTCCATGTTTTATATGTTTTGTCTGGTCCTGTCGATTCGTGAGGAGCTGCTTACCGAAGAAGCGTCGGAGGCACGTCACCTGTGTTCCTCTTGCACCAGCTAGAACCTAAACTTGAACAAGCCTGCCACCGACTCGGAAAACACAATAATAACTCCCATTCTCGGGAAACACAATAATACTCGAGCGGGACGCCATGTCGTCATTATTTCCCGTCGGCTCCTCTCCCCTGCCAGGAAGCAGTAATACTGGCATGGAAAACCCACTGCATCATCATTACTGCTACGATTATTATTGTAATTTATTGTTGCTATTATTACTATATATTATTGCTAGTGTTAGTACGATGTTATTATTATTTCTGTTCCACTGCCCCTCGTCGTAAGCTCTGGTTGAACGCTACGAAGTCGCTGACAGCTTCTGATTCAATCGTCTCTAATGCCGAAATTATCCCGGAAAGGACCAATGGAAGGGGATACCCTTTCATGGTGTGTTTTGGCCCCAAATCCTGCAGCAGGCTAAAGCCGAAAGCACAGCTCTGCGCGGACAGCTTAAGACCTTGGAGGCCCGTCATCAGCACTGCCATCGGAAAAACGTACCATTTCTCAACAAAGCACAGTTTCGGCTTTGCATCCAGGCGTACTTATGGGTTTTTCGCCAGACATGGTTTGCTCGACTTGACTCGTTTATTGAAAGTCTTAGAGTGAAGCAGCATGAACCTGTCAGGCTCGCTGTGAAAAGCAAGCATTGCAGGCCTTGAGTACCTCCACGATTCGAGATGCTGCATTATGTTGCACACTAGCAGGCTGCCTCAACATGTTCACGACAGGTCGCAGAGCTCTCGCTTGAGCCTGCGCAAATCGTGAAATCCTCGGTCGCATCTGCCTAGGGTACACCTCTACCTTGGGGTCGTAACAGCACGGAGAGTCAGTGTGGCTTCACGATTGTGTCTGTGGACCCTATATGATACTATATGAGCCCTTTCAAAGGCTGAGCACATAGCACATCTTCGCCTTTCATCCATTCGCAAGAAGATTTCCTGATTGCCCAGGTGCGGCGCTTGCAGGGCGAGGTGGCCTTCCTGGAAAATCGAGTCCTAGAGCAGCAGGCAGGCAAAGACGAGCATCATCGAGCGATCATAGATGTACTCTGCGTTGGGCATCGTTGCGGCATGGCGGCGCTTTGATGCACCAAAGTGCAGGCGGCACTAGAGGTTGGTGCCAAGAAAGCCGAGCTGACCTTGCGCGCCGAGCTTGATGTGAAGAGCCATGAGGCAAGCCGAAGTCGAAGCACAGCCGGGAAGCAAAGCTCCTGGGATCCAGACGATGAGGGCAAAAGATAGTTTGGGTCCAGCTTTTGGCTTCAGTGTCTAATTCCTCTGCACGAGAAAGGCATAGCCTGCCGTAAACTCCAGTGAGCGATGCCTGCGTGTCTTTTGCAGCTGCTGTTCTTCTTTTGATGGCATGCAGGTTCTCACTCTGCGGCGGACGATGGAAGCTCGGGAAAATGAGGTACCGTAGCTGACTGCATGCTGCTTAAGCCACGAGTGATTTTTGATAAACTTGCTTTGGAATTCCGAATTGTCGATGTTTTTTCTTGACTGGATCTCAGACTTGTGACGTCGTCCTTGAAGGTCCGTAGGTACCAACAAGAGTTGGAAGCGATCATTGCTGAGCTTTCCGCAGCTTGGCAGCTTTCAGGACAAGAGCCAGGATGGTGATTCCAAACAGCATCCTCTCCGAGCCTCCCAAGCGAAGTGAGGTGCTTCGCGGTAGCTGACGTGTGAGGATGTCGCCAGCTGAGCAACACGTCGTTTTGTAAGACAGATGTGGAAAGTTCCATGTCCAACTCCCAATTTCTGGATCTTTCGAGCTTCAATTCTCCGATTCCATCTTCCATGCTTCGGTGAGATACCGGGGACGATGTGTACCTCAGGCGAGGTGCTGGCGGCATGTTCCAAATCCTACCGATGATGGTTTGTCAGAATGCTTGCCAGGATTGGCCGAGCTCTGCCGTGAGTTGCTCTGTCCTTACCTGTACAGTGGACGGATCAACCGGCAGCTGATAGCGAGCTGCATCGGTCGGTGGTGATCGAGGAGGCTCAGGGGCCTGGGTCTACCAATCTGAACACATTCACGATTGCACAGGGGAATCTTGGGGTTCACATGTGCGCGACGCAGTCACTGAACATCGCGCTCGAAAATGCAGTCGATGCACTGTCCACACAGGCTCCGACAAGTTTAAAGCATCCTAGCTGTTTCTAATGTTGCTAAGGCTAGGAGTTCTTGCCGATGTCAGACAGGCCAAGAAGCACGACCATACTTATTGCATGTCCGACATCTCAGCACGAACATAACTCGGCTGCAACTTGCAACTCCCCATCTGAGCGTGTTGGCTGGTAAAAGGCCCATGAAGCACTTTGGTGCAAGCTCGTACAGCATTCAATGAACGTGTTATTTGCCCGAGAGTCGCAGAGGGTTTCAACATGATGTCGGGAGGACGATAGCAGGCAGAGCAGGGCCTGAGCAGGGGTAGAGAAACGGTGGGCAGGTACGGAGGTGAGAAGCCACGACATGGCTGTGACAACACGAAGAATTGACCCACGTATAGTCGACGCTAGCCACTCAAGCAGAAGTTTTGGAGTGTGGCAGACATTCAGAAGAGCAAGTTGCCGGTTCGCTTGCTCAAAGTAGAGTGCTGTGTGGACCGCCCCAGTAGCATAGAGCGCTAGAACCTCCACCCTTGCCTAGAAACATTGTGAGACCTGTGACGTCTGCCTCAGCGAACTCTCGATATCGGGTAAAGCTCAGTTTCTTCCGTGTCATTACATGCTTGCAACTCCATGGTTTACGAGACCGGCGATGCCATGGTGCATGGCCCTTCCACGTTAATTGGATGCCCGGCAGCCTGACATGCAGGCCTGGCCCTGGCCCTTTTTTCCCTAATTAAGACTTTGGGGAGCGTTGCATGTTACGTTGCAGAAACGCTTTGGAGGCTTCAGCACCATGGCCAGCTGGTACTGTGGCCGCGGCCTCGGCTGAGCATGGCTGAGCCTGAAAAAGCGGGATCCAGAGGGCTCTGGAAGCCTCGAGCTCTGAGGCAGTCGCAGAGCCGCTGTGCCGGATTTGTGGAGCACCGTCAGGTCGGCCGCCAAGACTTGAGAAGGCGCGTCTCGTCAGTACACTGCAATACACTGCAGGTAGGAACAAGCTGTAAGCAGCCTTCAGCTTTCGGCATCGCGCCGGTGTGGCAGCGGTGAAGGCTTTGCCCACCTCGGCGGCCCTTGCTTCCTTGTTAGCACGACGCCGAGCTCCACGGTGAGTGGCGAGGTGCCCTCGGACATCGTGGATCGCATGGCATGGAGCGCTCACAGAGCGGCACACTCCTTGCCGCGAGCCAGACTTTGGCGTCTGCGGAAGTGAGAATCGGCAGCGGCGCTCTGCCCATGCCAATCACTGTCCGCCTGGCCTAACCTCCAAGTTGTGGGTATTCGCACACTTCCCCCGCCGACGTCCTCCAGCTGGTGAGTACACCAATGCTCTCTGCCTCATGTCGCGGTCATGGACACGCCGTTTGGTGGGCGACATTGCTGGGTGGCAGAATCTGCCATTACCTTCGTGTCGTGTTCGGGATGATCGCGTTGGACAGTGGCGAGTCCGAGGAAGCGGAACCCCTTGTTCGCAAGACAACGTACCTTGTGAGATTCCGAGTGAATCCGAGCCTGTAGCTTCCGTCCATTTCCTTATACCCGCAACACAAACCTTGAACTCCGCTGATTCCAGGCGCCAGGGACCTATCAGCGTTGTGCAGCTTGTCCATGGTCTTTTCTGCTTTAGCGGGAGACTTTGAATTCCAAGGTGCCGCCTGCAGATGGCTGGCTACTTAGAGTCAGAAATAGAGCTCAGCATCGCGCAAACTTTGTCGATCACTGCTGATGTGGTTTGTAGCGTTGCCGAAAGCTGAATCGAACCATTACAAAAGTTGCCGCCCGATGCCCAGATCCTGACTTGTCTTGCAGTCGGAGACAACAAGATGTAACGAAGCAGAACAACGCAGTGTGCAGGCCGAAGGCTTCCACTGAGGGAGCGGGATTAGTTACAGGCGCCTTCTCATGTATGAGTCAGAGAAAGCGAGCACAGGTGCTGTAGTTTCGGACTACGCCTAGGCCCAATTCCATCATTGTCTCTCCGCGACCCTTGGTCACACCCTCAAAGCTTAGCAAAGGCAGAGAAAGGGCATGGCACAATATACGATTTAGTTCCACTTGAGGCTGCCGTCTGTCCTCTCTGCCGCGGACGGGCTGGTACCTCAGAGCTGCACACATGGCATCAGAGGCTCAGTAGCGAGCCGTGCTGGGTCTTCACTTATCATCAAAGATCATGGAAGGGTGTGGTTTCTTCCAGGACTTGAACAGATACCGCCCGAGCCTCTAGAAATGTCATGCAGAACACTCAAAGGAGTGGGCTTTGGTACCTTCCAACTCAAAATGGAGTTTACACGAGTTGGAGAGCACCACATAGCACCACCGCCGCAACATACCTGAATGTCGTCATACCACTTGCTGCTCCAAACATATCTCTCATGGTCTCAGGCACCCTCGGTTCCAGCGCAGCGGGTGACGCCGAGAGCACCGGTGATGTGACTCGGGCAATGCTTCAAGCGTTTGTCTTCACACTTTATGATTGGTGGGGCCCGGAAGCGACGCTCTCACGACGATTGCTTCTTGGCAGGCTGCGCATAAGCAGCGCAAAGACTTTGCAGCCAGGCGTCGGGCGTCTCTAGCGTGGCCTTTCACAAGTTGCCTCCTGCCTTAGGCATGTGCGCAAAGCTTGCCTTCACATAACATGACTCCCCTGCCTTCACCTCACCCTTGAGCAAGCTGCAATGGTTGCTTCTGTCCTACTTCGTGTAGCTGCGACTAGCGATATACTGGTCAAGCAGCAGACAGGGTTCTAGGCTCGCACTTCACGGTTGCGTCGTAAAGGACCTTGACTTGAATTTAGTGTTTCACCAGCTCTGTTATGCTGCAAGTAACATGCTCAGACAGAGTCAGACGCACTCAACGGATCCTCCTATTTCATTCATCACTGAGAGTAGGTAGTAGTAGAGTGTGGCTCGGGCAACATGGAGCTGTCGGGCCAGCCGAAAGCTTGAGTGTCAAGTTCAAGACATCCTGTCCGGGTCAGGCATGGTCTCCGCGCCCGTCGCCTGCGCCTCCAGAAAAAGTATCAGTCCGGCAAGCGTGGCTTGTCTGAAAAAAGAAAGACGCATGCAGTGCTACATTGATGCTAGAGTATATCCTCATAAAGAGTGGAGTTCCATTGATTCTGAAGCATGGAGGAAGAGTGGTCTCGCTTCGCATTTGAGTTGTCGACCTTGCTTGTCACTCGAGGTAACAAGCTCTACACTCGTGCGGCCAGCAAGCGCAGTCACCGTGCAGAGATGTGTCCGCAGCATCAGCATCTTGATGGCAGCAGTGTGTCGCAGCCAATCATGACCAAGCTATCGTGACCACGAATGCAACGGAGTTCTCAGGGGTCATGATGGGTCATGGCTAGTCTACGATATCGAGATCTTTCAAGTTTGAGCCAGCACCAGGTCCGAATTCGAGGCCTGTCTTGCAGGCGCAGGCACTGTCACGAGGGTGTAACGCACAGTGTTAGATCAGCGATTCAGGAGTACAGAGCCTCGAAATTCGAGTTTGAAGCTTCGACTTTGCAGCCCCTGGTGGGAGACTCTCAGAATGAAAGGCCGTGGGCGGACTCAGCGAGGCTGCAGGCAAAGCCAGCATGGGCTTCGTATCCTGCTGTGTACTACACTGCTAAACGCCTAAATGACGCCCGACATGCTGCAGAGTCTTGAGAACATCCGTGCTTCATGCCGTTTGATGTTTGCAGTCTCAAACGCCTGCTGGTGTTGTTATGACAATTGCTAGGCGTGGTCGGCGGGAAAAACCTTGGGTCAAGGATCACACCCGAATTTTTGTGAGGAGGGGTGATTCAGCAACAGGTGGGCAGGGGTTTATGGACCTGGTGGTGGTTCCTGAATCTTTTGAGTTGGTTTCCTCCTCAGGAGGGCCGCTCGGGATTTGGGAGCCTCAGGGACTGGACCTCCTGCTCTTAGCTGTGTGCTTTGCGTTTGGGCCTTGGGCTTCTGGTGCGGGAGGCGATCCGTTTGGAGAGCTCCGGACCGGACCCTCCGCACTGGCCCATCCCCCAAAGCCGCCCAAAGAGCGGCCTCCAATCGGCCGTGGTTCGGAAGACCCCGGCCAAATTCGTGATGGTGGCGAGCCCTTTCAGAGACAGAGGTCCAGAAGCTGTACAAGGACTACAAGAACAGGTGCAGGGACGTTCTTTCCAGAGGCGGATCCGTCGGCTGATCAGCCAGCTGGTCTCTTTGAAGCAGGTTGTTGCTTCAGGGCCGGCGCCCTGTGCGGCTTTCTGCCTCTTCGGCCCCTACGGACTTCTGCTTCTCGGGAAGCAAGCTTTTGCCAGCTCAAGGCCACAGAATAATGGACCAAACGGGAGCAGCCGGTCAGAACATCATACCACGGCTGGATGGAGGCTTGGAAAGTCCTGCAGACTCTCCGATGCAGAGAGACTGGAAGCCTATGCCAAGCACGTCCAGGGCTACGTGACCCCGTTTGGCGACGACGCTTGGTGGCTGGTCTACAGGGCCGAAAACAGGCTTCGTTGCGAGCACATGGAGCTCCTTTGCCGCATCCACCACGAAAAGCATGATTATGGGTACACTCAGGCGAGGTCCTGGAATGCCGTTTT